GTTACACCCATGACTTCTAACTCTAGCTCACCCCCACCTAATCAAGGGATGGCTAACCAAGCCGATATGCTGAACACCTTAAAAATCCCGGACGCTATCCGTTTTATACCACCATACGATGGAAACCCCAAAACACTTAGCGAGTTTATTACCAATGTAGAGGAAGTTCTTTTACTAATTAGAGGTACCGACCAAACACCTTATGGACAAATACTCCTTAGGGCAATTAGAAATAAAATCGAAGGAAAAGCCAATGAAGCAATCATTGAAGAAGGGGCTAGCCTTAACTGGGATGAGATCAAAGAGGCACTTTTGCTGCATTGCACAGACAAAAGAGATGAAGCCACCCTTATGTTCGAACTACATAACCTCTTACAAAACCCACTTCCAATCCAAAAACTTTATGACAAGGTTTGCGAGATTAGACTCGCACTATTTAGACTAACCGACACAAAAAAAATAGACCCGAGCCTGATTAAGACCAAGAAAAAACTCTTCACAGACGTTTGTCTGAACTCATTCCTATCAGGAATCAAGGGTCCCTTAGGTACAGCAGTCAGAGCAATGAAACCCACAAACTTACGAGAAGCTCTAGAATGGGCGTTAAAAGAGCGCGAAATTTATTTCACCCAAAACGCACAAAAGGGACAAAATCAAAACCGTAGAATCGAAGATTCGAAACCTAGCACTTCTAGACAAGGGAATTACCAGGAGATACAATTTACAGAAAAGAAAATAGACGAAATAAATTAACCGCTAGATTTTCTAAACATAAGATATTAGCAGATCAGGGCATAACCCTTCTAACATCAAAAAATCAAAAAGTACATAAGTCTAAAGTTAAGAAAAATATAAAAAGAATATAACGATTCAAATTACATTACAGATTACATTACATTTACGCACAAGAATTTAACGTGCTACAATTTTCGGAAGATAATAAAATCACCCTAATAAACTTAGAAAATGCGAAACTCATTACGACTCATAAATACTTAATTCATCAAATCAATCTGCAAGACTCATTAAATAACATTAAGAAATTCGAAACATCTCTAGATGAACTCACTAAATCACACCTTTCAAACGAAATTGTTAATTCTATTAGAACCAAACTAAACCAAGTAAAAGCAAAAATTTTTTCTCTAATACCTAAAAATAGAAGCAAGAGAGGTCTAATAAATGGTCTTGGCAGTGTTATAAAAGTAGTCACAGGCAACATGGATGCCGACGATGAAAAACGAATAAATACAAAATTTAATGAATTGTCAAACAACGAAAATAGCATTATAAATAACATTAACAAACAAATTATTGTCAACAAAGAAATAGAAAATAGATTTAAGAATATATCCGATCATATCAATAAAGAACAAGACATAATTAATAATTTCATAAGAAATTATAGAAATAACATATTCAAAACAATAAATGATGAAAATAATGAAATCCATATACTCCAGTTTACAGAAAGAATTAACGTAAATATATCCGATCATATCAATAAAGAACAAGACATAATTAATAATTTCATAAGAAATTATAGAAATAACATATTCAAAACAATAAATGATGAAAATAATGAAATCCATATACTCCAGTTTACAGAAAGAATGAACGTAAATATAGATATTCTGTATAATCATATTAATAATATTGTAGAAAGTGTTCTGTTAACGAAACTAAACATAATACCTAAATTTATTTTGAACGAAAAAGAGATGGAAATAATTTATAATATTATGAACGAACAACAAATGGAAATCAACACAGACGAACATATATATAGATTGTTAAACCTAGAAACCGAAATTAAGAACACAATTGTAAACTTTAGGATTAAGATACCAATTTTCGAAAAACATAATTACACACTATTACATATTATTCCACTAGCCGTAAATAATTCTAAGTTATTAATTGTACCAAATTTCGCTATCCTAAGCCAAGCCGGCAAACCAAAATATTTTAACGACAAATGTACAAAGATACACAAATTATTCATCTGCGAAGATCCTCCAATGACAAGCAACCTACCGGACCAACAATGCTTAGAAGGCATACTACACAATCAAACCTCTATATGCAACGTCAGGGATATGGGCAACACGGAGGTCATCCAAGAAGTAGAACCAAATCATATACTAATACTCAACACGAGAAACACCACTATAACCCCGTCATGCGAGAAGTCAAGAAGTATCACGGGATCAGCCATGATCACATTCACGAATTGCTCTGTCAACATCAATGGCTTAACATATGACAACACGGAAACCACGTACAAAGAAGACATCACTATATCAACACCGACTTTACAAAACATCAAAATTAACAACACAATAGAAGAAATAAGTCTTCAAAAACTTCACTTCCGAGCTCTAACAACACAGGAACAGATAGTCAACATCAGAGATGCAAATTTCAATAATTTAACAATAATATACATCCTACTGACTACACTTATAATTATCACAGCTGCCTGTTGGACCTGTAAGCCGAAGAATACAGTGTTCATCCCAAACGAAATACCTCCACGGGAAATGCCTATCTTACCTTCGTTCTGGCCATCGCTTCACACTAGGGGGGGGGGAGTTACCATCTCCGCTCCCCTCGAGTTGATACCCCAGAAGCCGCCTCGCCTTTCAGCTGAGTCGACAACTGGCTATCGTGTGGGCGATGTCGGCTAGCATTTCCGCTCTCAATAGAAGTCAACAACTTTACATTGTGGCTACAATGTGAAGACTTCTATAAACAACAAATTGCAACATCAAATTTCGATGCGTCGGCATTCTGCCGACGACAAGCTGGCTTAGGGTAGAGTTATAAGATCTTTATTCTGTACAGTTCAGTGCAGTCCAGATTTGTAAATGACAGAGAACAGTTTATTTCGTAAATAAATCAAGAATCTTTAAAATTCAACAACCCTGTTTGTTTAAACAAAGTACTAATCATCAAATTGTCGGAGGATACACCATTCCCGAAGGAAACACACCACCCTTTCTCCTCCTCATCACCAGCAGCAACTGGTAACTCGCGTGCTATACAAGGACCTAGTAAAAAAAATTTAAGTCTCTAGCTCTTATATCTTCTGAGATCGACTGGTTGAAGCATACGGACAGACGGACAGTCGGACAGAGCTAAATCGACTCAGATCGTCGCCCTGATTAAGAATATATATACTTTATGGGGTCTGCCACGTCTCCTTCTACCTGTTACATACATTTAACAAAACCATTATACCCTGATTTCCCATTGTATTCAGGGTATAAAAATTTGTTGCAAAATGTGGCGAAATTATGCCCGAGCATGTAAATACATAAATTGGAAAACCACCGTTAGCATTTTCGTTTTCTGTCTGCAGCTAAATTTCTAGGAAAGTACGGTGTACGAAGACTTTATTGGAGCCAAAAACATGTCTTTTTATGAACTTTTAATTAAAACTACTAAACTAAGCAAGACATAGACCTACATCTTTTTGTAAAATAAGATTAATATATAAGATGATAAAAGTGTATCAAAACTTTGGTAAGATTCTTACTTACTTGATATGCGCGTGGTATACACGGACCTAGGAAAAACAAGTAAGAAAGCTGTAGTCGAGACTGCCCGACTACGAGATCCCCTGAACCCTTCGGGCAACTGATATTTCAATAATTATTCGCATATGCACACTTACACGCACATACACAGACATACGTACGCACGCATAAACACGCATTGGCTGCAGTGTTGGCCTACAATAGGAACTTGATTGCTTAATAACTTTTCTTCTGGACGGGCTATCTTCATGAAACTTTCAGATTATGAATATAACATAGATGCACATGCATGTATTTGCCAAAGCACAAGTCCCTAGTATTTGAAATACGCCTATTACAAATGTGACGGTGAGGGGGTGAATTAGAGGTGGGGGATAAATTTTGATAAAAACCGAAATTGTATAAAATGCATATAAGTATACATAAATAATACATAAATATACATAAATTTGGAGACTCTAGCTTTAAAGATGTAGGAGATATCAATTTATTACTGGTTTTCGATAATGCTTTTAATCGATAACAAAATAACGGGGCAAGTTATCGATATTTAAAACAAAAGTCGATATGCGCGTGCTATACACGGACCTAGGAAAAAAATTTCAAGTCTCTAACTCTTATATCTTCTGAGATCGACGCGTTCAAACATACGGACAGACGGACGGACGGTCAGTGCTAATTCGACTCAGCTCGTCGCCCTGATCAAGAATATATATATATTTTATGGGGTCTGCCACGGCTTCTTCTGCCCGTTACATACTTTTAACAAAACCATTATACCCTGATTTCCCATTTTCATCTGACCATCACCGGAGAGTCTGGTGAATTTGGAGTCATCGGAATCATCGGACTATATATTTAAAATTTGGAGACTCTAGCCTTAAAGATGAAGGAGAAATAATTTTATAATTGATTAGTAAGTTATCGATTTTTTGATATAAACTCGATATGCGCATTGTATATACGGACATTTATCTTCTGAGATCTTTATTATTCTGAGATCCAATATACCCTTATTTCCCATTTTCAATGGGTTCAGGGCATAAAAATGGAAAAGCTTCAGGTCAACTCTTTAACTAACAGAGTAGCACTAGTACAACGACAAATTAATTCAAGACATAAGAGGACCAACCTGATAAGGTTATAAGAACTGTAGAAATTGCTGACTGATGGCTGATGCATTTTTCCAGGGTATAAACAGTCGCCGTATCTTGTTATATCTCATCATACCTTGTATTTTTTAAAGCTATCCGGTCTGTCGAATAAAATACTCCTATCAGGTTGGTGGCATTAATGAAAAAAATTTTCTGTGCTTATTAAGATTATCTCCAAGTTGACTCTAGTTTTGTAAACTCTAACTTTAAATAAATTAAAAAATACTTGTAAGCAACACAACAAAACTTAATTTTTGATTTATGTTTATATTTGCTTAAATTACATTATTTATCCAAAACAATATTTTATTAATTCACGTTAAAATGTTTATTGCTTGTGTGTTATTAATTTTTAAGCTAATGTGCCTGTGGATCACACTGCAGAAGCCGAACTATTGAAGGATCACTTTTTGCTCCTTCTATAAATTCATCCAAGCTTAGTTTTCCGTCTTTGTTTCTATCCATTTGACGAAAAAATTTATCTGTTCTTTTCTCCGGTGTGCTTTCATCTTCTGGCATTTTCATGACCGATCCAACCATTTTGTATATTGCCTAAAAAAATTGATGAAAACTTTTAAATGAATAACATATGTAATAATCTGTAGTAAAAGTTAAATTTGTATCCAGTATCTCTTTTCCCCTAAAACGGTAACAGATATGCACACAGAATTGCAATACCATCTTCAGGGATCAACATCAAGCTGCTGCTATCTATTTCAGTATACAACATTTCAGTGAAAAACAAGTAAGAAAACTCTAGTCGAGACTGCTCGATTACGAGACACCCTGAACCCTTCGAGCAACTGATATTTTAATAATTATTCGTACTTGCACACACACACAGTCATACGCACGAACGGGCTACAGTGGTGGCTTACTATGGGAACTTAAATGTTTAATAACTTTTCTTGTGGATGGACTATCTTCATGAAACTTTCACATTATTATTATAACATGAATATGCATGCATTACCCAAAGCAAAGTCTTTAGTATTTGAAATACACCTTTTACAAACTTATGGGTGAGGGGTTGGATATAGGGGGGGAGGGGGGGAAGGGTTAACAAAAATCGAAATACATCTATATGTATGTATATTAACAAGTAAGATACCCTCCAATCTGATATTCTTTTCGGCACACATACATACACACGCACGTATTAGAACGCGCTCTGCCAACTGCGCAGTAAGCAGCGACTGTGCTTGGGCTGCGCTTCAGTGTGGGCAATATTATACGAATTTATTTGATGAATAATTTATTTTTTCGATGTACAATCCTTATGAAACTTTTAGAACATAATCATAATGTTCAAATGTATGTACATTCCAAAGCATAAGTCTCTAGTACTTGAAATACGCTTTTTACAACGGTGAGGGTGAGGGGTGGATATAAGGGTGGGGGGTAAATTACAACCAAAATCGAAATTATATAAAATACATATAAGTCTACATTTAAAATTTGGAAGCTCTAGCTAAAGGTGTAGGAGACATAATTAAATAACTAGCTTTCGATAAGGTTTTTGATCGATAATAAAATATCGGGAATGGTTATCGATATATAGAGAAAAATTCGATATGGGCGTAATATACACGGACCTAGGAAAAATTTCAAGTCTCTAGCTCTTATATCTTCTGAGATCGACGCGTTCACACATACGGATGGACGGACAGGACCAAATCGACTCAGCTCGTCAAGAATATATATACTTTGTGGGGTCTGTCACGCCTCCTTTTGCCTGTTACATACATTTCAACAAAACCATTATACCCGGATTTCCCATTGAAAATGGGTTCAGGGTATAAAAATGAAGTATAATGAAATAAAGCCCTTTATGGTAATATATCATAAATGTCATAGAGAAATTATATTTACCGTAACAATTTCAAGCATTTCCTGCCGCGATATGTATCCGTTTCCATCTAAGTCGTACATTGAAAATGCCCATTTCAATTTTTGCTCAAGCTTCCCGCGAGATGTTACACTTAATGCGCATAAGAACTCTCTAAAATCGATGGTTCCATCACCATTTGCGTCGAATGTTCTAAACACATGTTCTGCGAACTAAAAATTTTTTTTTTAAATATATTTCGGTACACATATTTTGTGTAGTAAAATATAGACAATAATTTAACATACAATTCTATTATTTGTATATGTCTGTTTATATGTTTAGAAAAACTTAATACAACGAATGAGGAATTGTATTTTGATACGGAAGCCAAATATGCAATAACAGTAAATAGCTTTTGTTTTTATATAAAATCCAATCCGATGCAAGCATACAATAAGGATTATATTGTTTTATCATAATATATAACACCAAATACGATTTATTTTATTTTATTAATTTGGACGAAGCTCTTTTAGTATTATTCATACAAATTTAATTTTATAAATTTATCAGATTCTACTATCACCTGTATCTATATTCGTATTTGAATTATTTAATATATATTCTTGGTTATTAGCTGCGAAATATTAGTGACAAAACTATAAGGGCAGTTAAGGGCATTATATAAAAGGTTCGAAATACCTTACTTGCGTCGCCATATGGAAAAAAGTTTCCATATATTTTTTTAAACTCTTCTACTGACAAATGACCGCTCGGGCAATCCTTTAAAAACCCCTTATACCATTCTTGAATTTCAGCATCTGTAATTTAAAAGAAAACAGTTAAGAAATTGGTTAATAGAACGCTTTTCTAAACGTTTTTTTTACACCCTACACCTATTGAAAATGGAAAATAACGGTAATTAAACAATTAGGTTCAGCAAAAATTTTGTTAACAGGTAACATATTCTTGATCAAGGCGACGAGCGGGCGCGATTTAGCCTTGTTACCCTATATATCCGTCCGGCGGTCTGAATCTATGAACTCATCGACTTCAGGATTACTGGAATCATCGATTAATAACTTTATCGGAAACACTAACCAGAGAACACATAGACTAGATATGTATGTAGTACAATTTTTTCCTTCACGAAAAAATACGACGAAGAGACCAGACCAGACCAGAAAAGGACACCTTCCCCAACGAAGTACGGTTATGAGCTGTCGCTCTCTCTATGGTCTCTCAAATATCAGCAGCGCACAAAAATTGAAATTTGTTCGCAATGATCTCAGCTCTTTCCTTTTTAGTGAAGGGCATACCAAAATCTTAAAAAAATCTTTTGCACGAACGTAGCATGAACGCTTTTAATATTTTCACTATTATTTCTAGGAAGGGTATGAAAGCATTGAGACACATAAATTATATAATTTGGCGACGGGTATGCACACATAATGAATGTTTAGGCGACGAGCAGGCACACACACATTTCCAGTCCCTCGCAGTCCCTATTTATATGTACATATGAGTAGAGTGACCATCCGTCCTGGAATACCGGGACATGTTCCGCTTTTGAAAGTAATGTCCCGGTGTCCCGACCTGACACGAAACTGTCCTGGTTATACTCATTCACGAAAGTGAATCAGTATATTGGTTTTGTGCAATGTCCGTCTTGCTGTCCGTCCGTCTGTCCGTCTGTCCGTCCGTCCGTCTGTCCGTATGAACGCAATCTATTTCGGCGCTATTGAAGCTAGAGACTTGAAATTTGGTAGCAAAGCGGATAAAACGGTATCTCCTAGAGTTTTAAAGCTAGAACGCTAAAATTGCACGTGGACTAATGTTATAATTATGTAAAGATTTATGAAAAAATGATATGTTTACGCCTGCTAAAGGCGTGGAAGATCGGACGTGAATATATAGTGATTTTTCAAACTCTGCTGTATTTTGGACAATATTTATGCTAAATATACCATATTGGAGGTTATACATACTCGGGCTGACCACCCAAGACGAAAAAGCTAAGGTGGATAAATGTCCACCCACAGGGGGCGTGGTAAATCGCAAAAGTTTATACCTCTTAAACTAAAAGAGCTAGAAGGTTCAAGTTTGGATAATTAAGTTACTACTTCCTTTATCGATGAGCCAAAAATAATTGTTACGCCTCTTTAGGGGCGTGGTATATCGAAAAATACCCTGTAATTTTCATATTTTTGGAACGTAAGCTTCCAATCCAGCTAAGTTACCGCTAGCTAGTTCTATGAACTGACCAAATATGAGGTGTCTACGGCCACTAGGGGCGTGGCAAATCGAGAAAAACTGAATTATTAGAGCTAAACTTAGCTAATCAATTTCTGATGGGATGTGAATGAGTATTCCGCAGTCGTTAACGCCCGACTGCAATGTTCTTACTTGTTTCGAGTATTTTAACTGATCGAAAAAGAAATGAGCACACTAGACAGTTATCTCAGTAAAATATTAGATAAGCATTCCAATATAGTATCCGATTTAATTGAAGTTTTTAGAAGCAAGCAAAGTAACTCACCTCAACACTCGATAAGCTTAGTGCAAATTAGGTTAGCTTACCTTGATAAAGGAGACTCAGATGAGAACGGACAAGTGGTAGAAGATTGAAAAAAAAAATAAAGGAAAATCTTAAGTATGGAATGGGAAGAATTATTTTTCCATATCCAAGGCATAAAAGAAAATTTCAAAAAATCTTATAAATGTGTAACGCTGAATAGGAACATTAAAAAGGAAATTCTGAATAAACACGCAAAAATTCTAGTTGACTCTTTCAATGAGGCACGAATATTAGTGCATGTTAATAGAGCAAATATAGGTAAAACGAACTGGTCAAAGATTTTTAACCTATTGATCAAGTTACGTGCAAACCTAGCAAGATTCATCGTACAGTTCTCGTAACAATTCAATAAATCCCAAAGATCCCAAGCGAAAAGTTGAGATAATTCACAAGAAGACAAATCAAGAAATTCAGTATAGTATTTACATAACAAACTCCGAAAACGCAGTCATAAAATTGCTAAATACAACAAATATAGACCAAATCATAAACATAGACAATTTAAAAACTGAAAACTACGAAGCAGTTGAAACCAATCCAGAACAAAGAGAAAAACAGTACTAACAACACTATCTACAAATTTTCCGTCACAATTTCACAGTCAACTTATGAAGCTATGCAAGAACTATAGTGATGTATTCGGATTGGGGACTGAATTAATAACAACAAATAATTTTTACAAACATAAATTAAGACTGATAGATGATGAACCAATCTACATTAAAAATTATAGAAATCCGCATAGTCAGAAAGATGAAATTCAAAGACAGGTCCAAAAATTGATAAACGTCAAAATAGTCGAACCCTCCGTACTTGCTTACAATAGCCCACTTATAATGGTACCGAAAAAATCCTTACCAAATTCCGAAAATAAACAAGTAAGAAAGCCTAGTCGAGACTGCTCGAATAGGAGATAGCCTGAACCCCCTAATCTGATATTCTAATCATTCTGCATTTCTTTTCGGCACACATACATACACACGCACGTATTAGAACGCGCTCTGCTAACTGCGCAGTAAGCAGCGACTGCGCTTGGGCTGCGCTACAGTGTGGGCAACATTATAAGAATTTATTTGTTGAATAATTTAGTTTCTAGACGTAAAATCTTAATTAAACTTTCAGAACAGAATTATAATGTTCAAATGTATGTACCTTCCAAAGCATAAGTCTCCAGTACTTGAAATACGCTTTTTACAACGGTGAGGGTGAGGGGTGGATATAAGGGTGGGGGGTAAATTACAACCAAAATCGAAATTATATAAAATACATATAAGTCTATATTTAAAATTTGGAAGCTCTAGCTGGAAAGGTAAGGCTTTTAATCGATAATAAAATATCGGGAGTAGTTATCGATATATAGAGAAAAACTCGATATGCGTGTGATATACACGGACCTAGGAAAAAAAATTTCAAGTCTCTAGCTCTTATATCTTCTGAAATCGACGCGTTCATACATACGGACGGACGGACGGACGGACGGACAGACAGACAGGGCCAAATCGACTTAGCTCGTCGCCCTGATCAAAAATATATATACTTTGTGGGGTCTGCCACGCCTCCTTCTGCCTGTTACATACTTTTAACAAAACCATTATACCCTGATTTCCCATTTTCAATGGGTTCAGGGTATAAAAAGTAAATATTTTGTTTCAAAGAAGAGATCAAATAAGTAATCAAAAACGGAATTAGATAAGTAAATAACAAAACAAAAAAATTATAATTACAGTTAATCATGGCAAACCCAAGTAACTTAATAAGACCATCATTGTTGTCCGATGATGCGTCATCCTCCAGATCAGCACCCCCCAATAACACCCAAATGAATATAGACCAACTAACACAATTAATTTCGAAAATTGCCATCGAGACTCTAGCAATAAACAATACAGCTGAATCAATCAGACCAAGCCCTTTCGACGCCCCTGACGTATCAATCAGACCTGAATATAGTAATAGAATATCCGAATTAGACAAGGTTCCAGATATAGTCAAAGGTTTAAGAGAATTCAATGGAAATCCAGCTGAGTTTAGCTCCTGGAAGAAGAGTGTTGACAGAATAATGGAAATTTATTCAGGACAGGAAGACAGCCCTAGATATTTCGGCATCCTTCATACAATAAGAAACAAAATAACCGGACTAGCAGATACAGCATTAGAATCTTACAACGTACCACTCGACTGGAGTGCCATTACTAAGTGCCTGACTCTACATTACGCTGATAAGAGGGATATAAAAATCCTAGAATATCAGATGACTGGACTGACTCAAGGTAATCAATCTGTTGAAGAATTCCATTCAGTCGTTTATAAACATTTGTCACTTATTCTTAACAAAGTGGGTTGTATGAATGTGACCAGAGAATCTGAGCGATTACTGACTAAAGTATATCGTAATAAGGCACTTGACACCTTCGTAAGAGGTCTCCAAGGATCTCCCTGGACTTCTAGGAATTAAAGAACCCACTGACTTGCCACAAGCCCTTCATTTATGCCTCAAGTTAGAAAATCAAAAGTATGTCGCCTCCCAGCCAACCAAAAAGGCCGTATGCAATTATTCCGAGCTTCTCCAATAACACAAAATAACATTCCACGTCAGCCAATTCAATCTTATAGGCCAAACCCCAGTTTTTAAGAAAATAAAATAACACCTTATGGACAGCAGTTCAAGCAACAGCCAAGTTACACCTTCCCAATAGCACACCCTCGTCCGTCCGGACAACAATTCTTTCAACAGCCAAACTACAGTTATCCTGTAGCACCCCCTCAACGTCTGGACCAAAACCTTACCCTCGTCCCGAAACCATGGACGTAGACAAGTCCATGCAAACGAAGCAGGTTAATTATATTATTTGCCCAAATTTCGATATAGGAAAACGTCCTCCATACAACACAGGACCAGAACTAAACAAGTAAGAAGAATCTAGTCGAGACTGCTCGACTTGGAGATACCCTGAACCCTCTAATCTGATATTCTAATCACTCTGCTCTTCTGTTCGGCACACATACATACACACACACACACATACATACACGCTCTGCTAACTGCGCAGTATATACCCTGAACCCATTTTCAATGGGAAATCAGGGTATAATGGTTTTGTTGAAATGTATGTAACAGGGAGAAGGAGGCGTGGCAGACCCCATAAAGTATATATATATACTTGATCAGGGCGACGAGCTGAGTTGATTTGGCCCTGTCCGTCTGTCTGTCTGTCCGTCTGTCCGTATGTTTGAACGCGTCGATTTCCGATGATATAAGAGCTAGAGACTTCAAATTTTTTTTAAAATGTCCGTAATTACAGCGCGCATATCAAGTTTATCATTAAAAATCGATAACTCATCCCGATCCTTTTTTATCGATAAAAAAGCATATCGAAAACCAGTTATAAAATTATATCTTCTACACCTTTATTGCTAGAGTCTCCAAATTTTTAATGTATGCTTATATGCAATTTATACAATTTCGGTTTTTGTTAAAATTTACCCCTCACCCCTATATTCACCCGTATTTCAAATACTAGAGACTTGTGCTTTGGCAAATGCATGCATACCCATGTTATAATGATAATCTGAAAGTTTCGTGACGATCGTATGTCCACAAAAAAAGTTATTAAACATATACATATATATACTTTATGGGGTCTGCGATGATTCCTTCTGCCTGTTACATACTTTTCACAAAACCATTATACCCTGATTTCCCATTTTCAATGGGTTCAGGCTATAACAAGTAAGAAAGCTCTAGTCGAGACTGCTCGACTACGAGATCCCCTGAACCCTTGGAGCAATAGATATTTCAATAATTTTTCGCGTCTTTCAGCTTACACAAGAAACACGCACACACACGCACGTATGCACACACAGGCATACATACACACACACGCATACAGACACTCATACACACACACGCATACACACACAAACGCATACACACACACACATACACTATTTGAAGCGCTTTGGCCACGAGGAATCTGACGAGTGCCCCTCGTGCGAGCGAGGGCATGTGGAAGACGCCACCACATTCTTTTCGAATGTGGACGGTTCCTGGAGGAGAGGCGTCGTCTGGAAAAGGCAGTGGGCCGCTCCATCAGAGCGGACAACTTAGTCAACGCCATGCTGGAATCGGAGGAAGCTTGGGAACTAACAAGCACCTTCGCGGCCACGGTGATGATGGAGCTCCGCAGAGTCGAGCGACTGAGAAGACGAGCTGTCCCAGGCTAAGGTAGCGCATAGTGCTTGCGAAGCAATGCTTTACGGCCGTCCCGCAAGCACCGCGCGCTATCCTAGCCACCACGCAACTTGCAATTTGTTATTTTGTCAATAAATGAATATAAAAAAAAAAAAAAAAAAAAAAACACACACACACACACACATACACACACACATACACACACACATACACAAACACATACACACACATACACAAACATTTACATGCATATACACACACAAGCATAAACACGCATGGGCGGCAGTGAGCGCTTACTATGAGAACTTAATTGTTTAATAACTTTTTTCGTGGACGTACGATCTTCATGAAACTTTCAGATTATGATTATGACATGGATATGCATGTAATTGCCAAAGCACAAGTATAGAAGATATCAGACAACCATTACATGAAATACTTTTCTACTATGGAGTACCAAATTTGTAGTAGTAGATAACGAAAAATCACTTAATTCGGCCTCTCCTGCAGATTTCCTGCAAAGAGCTATTTACGAGTATAACAATTCCATACATTCAGTCACTAAACAACGCCCACTAGATATTTTCTTTGGCAGAAAGATTACCACAGACCCCGAACAATTCGAACAAGCACGCAAAAATAACATAACAAAACTAAAAGAACAGCAGACCAAAGACCTAAAATATCACAACCAATCTAGAAACCCTATACTAACCTACACAACTGGACAGATAATTTACGTAAAAATCAACCCACGACTAGGATCTAAACTTTCCTCCAGATACAAACAAGTAAGAAGGCTCCAATCGAGACTGCTCGACTAGGAGATACCCTGAACCCTCCAAGCTGATATTCTAATCATTCTGCACTTCTTTTACATACATACACATGCACTTATAAGCATGCGCTCTGCTAACAGCGCAGTAAGCAGCGACTGCGCTTGGGTTGCGTTGCAATGTGCAATATTTTTGTAGACATACAATCTTAATGAAACTTTCAGAGCGTAATCATATGGTTATAATGTGTGCACATTCCAAAGCACAAGTCTCTAGTACTTGAAATGCGTTTTTTACAAATTGGGGGCGAAGGGGGCGTGGTATCCAAAATCTGTAAATTATAAAATCTTTGTGTCCATTAACTCTATATACAACGCAAATTTGAAGTCTCTAGGTTTAAAAGTGTTCAAACTAGGCTGGAAAAACCAAGTAGATTTTTCGATTATTCTCGATAAAAAAGTTATCGGATGAGTTATCGAAAAAATAATGCAAACTCGTACTGCCTATGGTATACACGAGTATGCATGCCAAATTTCTCTCTAGCTCTTCTTCTGAGATCCTTTTGCTCATACGGACGGTGGGACGGACGGACGGACGGACGGACGGACAGACGGACAGGACTCAGCTCGTCGTCCTGATCAAGAATATATATACTTTATGGGGTCTGCGATGATTCCTTCTGCCTGTTACATACTTTTCACAAAACCATTATACCCTGATTTCCCATTTTCAATGGGTTCAGGATATAACAAGTAAGAAAGCTCTAGTCGAGACTACTCGACTACGAGATCCCCTGAACCCTTGGAGTAATAGCTATTTCAATAATTTTTCGCGTCTTTCAGCTTACACAAGAAACACGCACACACACACACACACACACGCACGCACGCACGCACACACAGGCATACATACACACACATACATACACACATACACACACGGAGTTCGAGTTGCGTTTTCACGGAGTGCGGTCGATGTCATCGTGGTCCATCGTAGACAATAGCTTGAACTGTGTTTTCCCCTGTGAAAGTGGAAAGAACTGAAGTCAACGTGTTTGCTGTGGGCGCGGCGTACCCAGCGACCTCAAAAAACTACCAGAGACTTACTGCGCGGCGGTTCGTGGAATTCCCAAGCGGTATAATTCGGTGGTGCAAGAGAGGGGGGCGATAGCGTCAGTGTTTTGGCGTCAGGGCTTCTTTCCTTTCCTTGTCTTTTGTGGGCGCGTAAATTTTGTTACTTTAGGCGTCACACTTGCGCAATAAGAAAAATCAGGTGCATTCACTCTAACAGCTGTTAGTAGTGCTGGAAATTGCATCGGGCAATCAGCTGCTCACTAACGTTGGTGAGTTGCTAAGCCTTAGCAAAGACAGCAACCTAGCTGCTGGAGTGAAGTAGCAGTTATTAAAAGTAGTGCATACTTTCGGGCTCTCGCTTTAGTCAAGTTGGGTTTAAGTTACTGCGGGTTGTAAACTCAGATTTTATTAGTAGCCATTGCCCACTACAGGCTTCACGCCGTTGTAGTCGGAGCAGAAATGGATGCCATGATGGAGGACGAGCTGCAAGCTTTTGCGCGTCGTTCCTCGTTGCAGCGATCGCCGCAGCAACAACAGAGGGTGTTGGCGCAGCCGTCGACTTCTAACCAGGCTCCAGTGGCTGAGTGCCAGGCACCCAAGTCACTAAAAGAAGCGTTAGCTCAAATAGGAGCTACACTAGAGGGTCTGTCTGCCTTATTTGGGGGTCAGCGGCATATAAATGCCTTAATGAGAGAGGAGCTGGCTAGGCTGGTCAGCCTTCACAAGACGGCCGAAGCGTTCTGCAACCGTTCGGTTAAAAACTGTGAGGTGCAGACCACGCCACTCAAAAAAGTAGGCGAAAACGTTAAGGCAGCGAGCATTAGTGCTACAGTAGGTAGCAATACTCCCAAGCGGTCGAGGGAAGTCGCCTCCGAACAGAGGAAAACTCCCTCAAAAAAGCCGAGGCCCAATAGAAGTGCAGCGAACCCAAAAGAACCAATGGCTCTACGGGCTACAGCTGAATCTGAAACTTCAAACCAGGCCGCCCGACAGACAAACCAGAGCAGCTGGACAGTCGTCAAAGGGCGAAAGCCTATGCAAAAACGTCCCAGGACTGACGCGATTGCGATTTCAGGCGTAGGGGGTTGCAGCTACGCGGACATGCTTCGTGTAGTTAAAAACGACCCAAATTTGAAGCATCTGAGCAGC